TACGTGCTACAAAGCGGTGCTTTTCCACCTACCTTCAGCTGACAGTCCTCGTTCACAGCCAGGTTGCCTGGCTTCAGGTCCTACAACAGCCAAGAGCAGAATAATAAGGGATGTTTTTATTTACAACACGTCAACACGAGCCTCAGCCAAACCTCCGCTTGTCTTTGATGGGATCCCATAACATCCCAAGTCCAGTATTGATACAGCAAAGACAGCACGCCTGCTATACTGTACAGCTTCAGATTACTATTTTATTTTTTCTGAAAGAGTTTTAATTCAAAACGCATCAGAAAATGCTTCACGGCTCGTCAGAAAATGCAGCATTTCCTCAAAACGCTGCACAAACGAGCAAATCCAAACACATACAGGGTGTAGGAGGGAAAAGAGGGAGGACACCAGAGAGACCTCTGAGCAGATGAGGCTATTAGTGAAACCATGTTTAGGAATTTATTAACTTTACGACCGAGCTACGTTTCTCCTAAACAGACAAAAACCAGAGTAACAGCGTACACGAACTTACCCTGTGGATGATTCCGGCTGAATGAATATACTGCAATAAAAAGAGAAACCACAATGTGATCACCAGCAGACAAGACTTTCTGTTCTCCAGCGGAGAAACGAGAGCTACGAACAAGAACTTGCTGAGAACACAACTCTGCAGCCTGCTGCAGGTCCCCAGCCCCCAGAGAAGCAGTTTGAAAAGAAATCTCCACACTGACTTTCTGACAATATTTGCAATTACACTGCCAGTCTAAAGAAGGGGCACAGAGCAGAAGAGGAGCAATAGTTCCTTACAGCGAATAAACTAACAGCTTCAAACTGTCCAACAAAGGCATCAGGATTACAGGTAGGAACATGGTCAGTAGATGACAGAAGTTGGTTTGGGTGTTAAACGATGTGAAAAAAAAATCTCACTAATTAAAACGCAAAATTGGAAATCAGATTTGAGTTGCAAAAACTGACTACATGGCTTTTATCACACCAATTAAACCTTCTGCGTGTTCTTCCCCCCTTTATTTAAGCTCGAGGTAACAGTGATCTGGGGAAAGGTGTGATTAAGGCAAACTCATTAATGCCTGTAAGCCACCGCTCTGACTCCAGGTGAAGGATCACAGAGGGCAGCATTAAGACATCGTCTCTGCATCGCAGGGTTTGCAGGGATTGCGCTCTGCTCTCGAAGCCAGTTAAAGCAGCATATTCCTTCCTTATTCTGTTGAATAGAAAATCATTCCCTCTGTCTTCTCCCCTGGGAGCCTCTGTTAGGAATTCAGCAGAAGCTCCCTTTGCTGCCAGCCTCTTCATTTCTACAGAGTTTTGCCAAGGGTTTGGGCAAAGTCAAAGAGCGACGCAACCGCTGTCACAGAAGAACCATCGCAAGGTCTACGACTGCCGATTGCCGCGATACGCGATGGGCTGATGTGAACGAGCAGCCATTTTGATTGATGTGTGCTGGAACAAGAGCAGTTCAACAGCAAATGCCTGTTCTCAGGGGACGCCATAAACCCCCGAGTCTTCCTACGCAGTGTTGGAAGGGGGTTGTGTTATGGTCAACCCAGAGGTGATGTGTAGAGGAGACACGGGGAGTCACTGAACTCCTCCAGACCCACCTACCTTCAGCCCTTTCAGCATCTGGTAGACCAGGTACTGGATCTTTTCATCACTGAATTCATGTCCCATGATCTTTTGTAAATCTGTCCGCATGTATGGCATCACCAGGTAGCTAAAAGGCAGTAAGACAAGGCCCTGAGTCTAGAAGAAAAACATAGGGAACCAGGCTAGCCTTGTTCTCACTTGGTTTTGGGTTTTTTTTCTTTTGGCTGCATAACTTACTGTAACTAAGACAAGTTGTTGTGACAATGTTCCTGGCTAACTCGCATTTCCTGCAGTGATGCTGGGATTTTGACCTGCTCTGAAAATTGCCCTTTCTCCTCCCCTCAAATCAGATATCTGACGTCAAGTAAGAACAAGGATCTTCCAAACTTTAACTATCCTGAATTAGTTTACTTTGGACCTCAAGTGATGTTCAATTCCAGACAGCTTTACACCATCTGGGAGCTGAAACATCTTGCGCAGCTTTAGAGAGTCTTGCAAAACTGCTGCGTTGGCTCCCAAATTTATCTTTGTAATGTTCTCCAGCCCTGCCTCAGAAGGCAACGTCTAGCTTCCTTCAGCCTTTGGCCTGCCTCGTGAGACTGCTAATTAGTTGACGGTCTTCCAGCAGGAACTGCTCTGAGAACCTTCAAACACTTTTCCTGCAGGCTGCTAAATACCCAGCCGTCGACCGAAAACCCAAAGCCAGGTGCACGCTGCTCGTGCCCAAGGATGGGGAAAGGAAAACGACTCGTCCAACCTGACCATCAACACAGAGGGGAAATGCCAAAAACCCCCAAACAACAATAGTCAGAATCAAGATGGAAAGCAAGCCAGATCTTTAAAACTCTCTTGTTTAATTACCCCAGGGCCTGATGAACACCACACTTCTCCCATTCCAAGTGCAGCCTCTTAGCTCAGCAGTCACACAGGCAGCGCGTTAGCACGGATCACGCTGCAGGTGATACACCATGGAATGGGATGCCTCTTCGTTACATACCTTGGTCTACATATACTGTGCTCTCCCAGCTGCGAGCACGGCATGGATCTGTTTATGTATTCTGGGTGTTTTAGCCATGGGAACCGACTTGTGCTTTTGATTCTCCTTGTTATTTGGGATGTCTGGCTTTAGTCTGGCCCCTTTTCAACTCAGTCTGTTGGACTGCACCTCAACCTGATCTGTTACCCTGCTGCTAAGTCCCAGGTGTCTTGGGCAATGGCTGAATCTAGACAGAGGGAACGCAAACTCCAAACTTACAAGTCCTGGAATCCCTGGTAGGAGGTGGCAGAGGTGAAGACATCAAGCAGCCCGATGACCTGATGGAGAAGAGAAGTCCACACTTAAACCTGGAAAGCATTTGCGGTGCACGTGGGACTCAGCAGCTTTCCAATGGCACACGCACGTGGGTGAGCACCGAGAACTCCATCCGAGGAATCCAAGGATTCCTCACAATGCCACGCAGCTGCTTTTCCTCTTACTAATACATGGGAGCACCCATTACACATCTGCTTCAGCCTGGTGCCAACTGGGCGCAGCAGACAGGTAGCAGTTAAACCCCGAGACTGCTCGCATGTGCCAAATGTCAGGACCTCTCAATTAAAATAAAGGTGACGCCACCAGAAAGCACTTGCTCCCAGGTGGCAAGAAAACCCCCTTGTTTCATCAGGAACGGAGAGAAATGAGTACTTACGTTCTCATGCTGCATGTGCTTCAACAGCATGAGCTCTCTGTACGCTCTCTTGGCAAAGATCTCCGACTGGAACGGGCGGCAGAGCTTCTTGATAGCCACTTTCTCCCCTGTCTTCTTGTCTATGGCTGAACTGCGGCAAACAAATAAAAGCCAGTTCTGACATTGGCAGTGTGTTTTAACAAATTTTGCAATACCAAAGGTCTTCTCCTAGAGAAGAGCTAACTCTGGAGCTTGCAGGAGAACAGCAAAGAAGGGGCCTTTGAGAAACCCAGCGGAGCTCTGCACACATGGACGTTACCCTGGGTGACTTTGGGTAGCAGAGCACAGCCCGTGCTCTTTGGAGGACTGGGTGGGATACCAAGCAAAGTATCAGTGGCTCATCTTTGCTCCCCTTAACCTGCAGAAAGGAGCTGGAGCTAACAGAGCCATGAGAAGAGGGAAACACAAATGGTTAAAGGTCAGGATTAGTTCTAGCTCTGCCTTCTCCTTCCCTAACGCATGGAGATAAGGGAATAAAGCAATTCCTGCTTTGCCATCTGCTTGGAGGTTGTTGTCTTTTAAGGTACGTCAGCCGCCTTCACTGTATTCTGGAGCAAAGTCAGTGGATGTCACGCACTGAAAATACAGGCTGCTGGAACTAATTCTCCTGCATTTGGGATCTTTGATGCTGTACGTATGCTTCTGTGTAAAAGCAGGTCTGGCTGAAAATGGGAGTCTTTCATAAAGCTAATGAAAACACGGTACAACAGCCGTCGCTGGAGACGTGTTATTCCCTCTGGTCACATTTATTGTTTGCAGTAAATAACAGGGCGATCCCACGACGCTTTCCCCGCTTCTGGAGGCTCTTTGATCAGGCCCCAGGTTTCACCAGCTAAGAAGTGGGGAGGGAGGTCCTCGGGCAGACACAGCTGTAATTCGGGATTCTCGGTGGTGTTTTCTGGGGAGGGGCTCTCTGTGCACCCCATTACACATCGGTGTCTCAGCCCTTCCTTGACCCCTCCAAGAGGCAAACAGATGAAGAAAGGAAGGGTTTTCCTTGCCAAATCGCAGTGTGGGTTTTCAGAGCAGTTCCCGCCGCTTTGTAAATCCTTATCTCGCCTCCTGGGGAAACAGAAGGGCTATAAATCAGCACGGTCAGTCCCACGGCTTTTAGCTGCACAGGGTAACCGAGCCCACGTGAACGCCGGCATTAGCGCTTTACGCGCATCCTCCAGCCTCGCACAGACACATTTCCCCTGCTTCCACCTCCGGAGGGACACGCGATTCACCCCGCCACGGTCCCCGACTGCCAGGCTCCAGCCACCGCTCCTTCCTCGAGGCTCTCGGAGGATCCGAGACAGGGAGGGGCAGGTACCATAAAGCTGTAAAGCAACGTTACCATGACCTCCAGGGCCATCACTCAGAGGCAAGACTTCATAAATAAACAGGAAAATGCCATCTATAACAACGCAATCAAACAGCGCGTTTTGCTGGGTTTAGGGCTGATTGCATTAGGAGAGGTGGGAATATCCCGCTCCGCGTGGCTTTCCCTTTGGTTCAATGCTGAGGAGGGGTTATCAGTTCCTTGCTGCAGATCTTGGAAGTCTCTTGCACAGCTTTCTCCAGCTGTCAGCCACAAGCGATCAGTTGTGGTGCGTCCTCCGGCAGCCCGGGCTATCAGCAGCTCTCATCTAGGGAGCAGAGACAACCTCCCCGATACCACCGGGCAATCTCCCTGCTCTTGGCCACCGAGCTCCCTCCCTCCCAGTTGCTCTAAGTTGCATGTGACAAGAACAGACGCATCCTTCGGGAGGTGTGACGGCGATTTCGTCAATGCATTCAGCCAGGAAAAGCAAAGGAAGTGCTGGAACAGCCACACGAGGCTGGAGACGGCTCGGGATATCTTAGGACAGCAAAGAGTTATCTCAGTTTCAGGACTTCAGCAGGTGTCAGCAGAGGGGACAGCTCAGTGTAAAGTTCTCCGAGGAGCCAGGGAAGTAAGAGGAAAGGACTCGGACCGCGTAGTCAAACAGCTTCTGCAGAATTCCAAGGCAGATTTCCTAATCCAAGGGTGTGTGTTCTTACCTGCCTTCCCAGCCGCTGGCCTACGGAGCGCCTAACCCCACCGCTCCACGCTGATGGAGCTGCAGCCTGCCCAGCACAAACAGCATTACTTTCACCCTTGCCACGAGGCACAGCTAAGAGTTAATTCAGCTGGCACAGCACAGGTTTAATGAATGGCTGAAGTTCGGGATAACACCGGGCAGGCAGAGATCGGCAAGGCCAGTGTTGGAAGGGTCAGAAGATGACTCTTCCACATTTACATTCAGTCGGAAGCCGAATCACTACAGGTTTTGGCAGAATTAATGAGGGAAGAAACACATCTTTGCTGTTTTTCCCAAGTTAGTTTCTCAGCTGCTCGAGGTATAAAAGCCAGCAGCTCCGAATAATGCTGCGATAGGAAGGCTTCCCAGCAATTCCCAGCAGAGGACAGCAAATCCTCACTCTGCACGCTTCCACCTCTGCTTTGTATGGGAATTGGGGAATTGGCACCAAACCCTCCCTGCCGAGCACTGTCCATGGACACCACCACCCCCCGGGCCTCTTCCAACACCCATCCCTCCCTCCCCGAGGCCTCCAGAGCAGCCGAGGCTTTCACAGGGACCAGGAAAAGATTGAGCTTATTGTTGTTTTGGTTTTTTTCAGTGGGCAAGGAAACTTTGCAAGGATTTCCCTCTTCCCTTTTTTGTCCTGTCTTTATTTTCTTTTAGTCTTCCTGCTTTCCCTTAGGATAAAAACCAGAAAACACTGTAGAATAAAAAAGTCAAGCTTAGTCTTGCCTGATTTTGCAGGACTCATTTAAAGATCTCCAAAGCTTAAATGCACCTGGACTGCAAAGTGGGGAAAGCAAACACTGGGTGCCTCTTTGTAAATAGGCAAGGACAGAACCTGGGCCCCAGGGTTTCTGGATCCGTGCCGTGACAGCCGGCAGATAGACTTTGCCCAGCACCTACAAAAGGGGACACACCTTTTTTTGGTTGGGTTTTCTTTTTTTTTTTTTTTTTTTTTTATGGTTTGGTTTTTTTTTTTTTTTTTTTTTTTTTTTTAGCTCAGCATGTTATGAAACAAGGGCTCCGTTCAGCTCCTATCAATGGGCTGCTTCATGTTTAACCTTTCAAAAAATTGCTCGTCTCCTCCGGTTCGCCAATGTAAACCAAGCAAGATCTGACTTCTTGCTCTCACTACAGGCACCTTTGCCCAACTGATTAATTAACAGCGGCTCGTGCTGCTCTCTCATAGGTTAGGATTAGCATTGCCGGGAAGGAAGTCCCGGACTGTTACTGATCCTGGTTTACAGTAATTTCTATCTATTTTATGATTTCAAGCTGGAAGCAGGATCAAGGTGGGGGCCGCATTGCCCAGCTCCTTTCCCAGGCAGCCCAGCGTCAGCTGCCTTGGAGTAAGCAGCAAGGACACACTGCAGCCCCCGTCCCCAGAGATTCGGAGCTTTGTTCCAGCACCTAACTCTCATCATTTACAAATTGCTTTCAGACACCCAGGTATTTTTTCCCCGCCTTTGCTGCCAGACAGAAATCCTCCCCGAATGCAAGCTTGAGACCAAGGCAGCTCCAAAGCTGCCTGACCCCCAATGTCGAGTGACAGCCCGAGCTGCCCCTGGCAGCCCTGCCTACCTGGTCCTCGAGCCGCTGCCTACGGACACCCGCCGAGGCGAGCTCGGGTGGGAAACTTTCCCCCCTCTGCCCACCCGGAGCGACCACAGGACAAAACATCTCGGTTTCTTCAAGCAACCAAGTCTCCAACCTGCTCCCCGTGCCGGGGCAGGAGGCAAACCCGCCTTCCTCACACATGCAAATGGCCCTTCCTAATGGAGGGGTGCCGGCAGGCACCTCCTCGTTTCCTCCCCGGCGCGACACTTTCAACACCCCCAACTCGCCCCTTGCTGCTGCCTGCGGCGCAGGCAGGACCCCACTCACCACCCCGAGCCGTAGGCTCCGGACCCCACCGGGTGAAGGGACGTGTATCTCCTGGGCAGCTCCCAGAGGGTTTTGTTCACCTCCTGTCTGTAAAAGCCTCTTCTCCTTGCGATGTTCATCACCCGGCGGGTGCGGGACTGCCACCCCCCCAGAGTACTGGAGTACGGGAGGGCTTCTGGGGTGAAAGTGGGACGGCGAAGCCTCCTGCGCTGGTAAAAAATGCTCTAGCGAGTTTCCTTCTCCGTTTTCAGCTGTTGCGAACGTGAAGGGACATGTCTTTGGGCCCTCCTCCCTCCGCCTCCACATTGGGGAGGTGAGACATCAGTTTCCCGACACGCCTCAGTCTTGTACAGGTGCCTCTGGACTCCGCCACAGGAGCAGAGCGCCCAGCCCCGCGGCAGGCACACCACCGGGAGCCCCGCCGTCACCTACGGCTCCTGCTGCCACCGGGCCACCAGCCAAGAAATGTCCTCGTGGGGCTCGGAGGGGGTCTCGTGAAATCCCTGCTCTGAACAAGCGGATGAGTAAGGACTTGTCGAGCCGGGGAATCTGGGGGACAAGCCAGAGCGCCTTGTCAGACGAGCGGGGACATTCTTCTTTCCAGCTGATGGAGGGCAGCTCCAGGCTCATGACGAAGGACACCAGGGTGTTACATCCACAGAAGAGCGAGGAAGCCGCGGTGATTTTCTCCCGAGCCTGGTTTCCCAGCAGCGCGGGGATGCGGTGAAAGCAGGCTGAGGTTCTCCACCTTCATCCAGGTGATTGCAGCAAGGAGGTTCAGGAGCAGCCGCGAGATGGGACCATCCCGAGAACTGTTCGTGCCCCAGGCGTCGCTGGGTCTGGTTTCACCTCCTGCAGCAGGGTCCGACCCCCTTCTCGGGGCTCCTGACAGCGCAAAGCCCAAGTTCACCGCTGTGCCTACCAGTACCACGCCAGACCAGCAGACCCAGCCTGCGAGAAGGTCCACTCCTGGTAAGCAGAGAACACTTCAACATTTTCCTCCAACTTTAGGAGGCTCCAGAGGGGCTCCCACACAGCAGGCAGGTGCATCCTACACATCCTACATGCTTTCCAAAGGAAGTGACTAAGCCGCGCCTTAACGAGCCAGCCCAGCAGCTTACACTGTGCTCTACCCCACCAGCCCTCAACCCTGCCCATGGCCTAATCCGCAAAGGTGTCCCTGCTCCGAGCGCGTCTGCGCGGCAGCATTAGAGCCAAGTTACCTGATAAACAGGAATTCCTGAAAAACCACCGTCAGGGTTTTAGGAAAGACTCATTTTACCTGCGTACAGGCAACTGCTGTGACACATACTAATGCTGGCCCTTAGGTTCTTCAAATAGCCATGGTAAGGTCTGCTGTTTCATAAAACACAAACTAGGGACAAGGTGCTATGGCAATTTTTTAAACCTTCCTTATGTATATACATGTAAATAATCCCTGGCTATAGCAACAGCACAGTCAGGAAATAAACTGACAGTTGGCTGGGTTCTATAAATACACCTGTGAGCAAGAGGTGTTACAGCAAAAACTCCTGGGACATAAGCAAACGTGTAACTCATTTGTCATCTTATGAGCGCAACTCTTGCTCAACTACGTGTGCACACGCAGGTAATCAGCGCACAATTAAGGAGTTCTAAATATCTAGGGCATGTCTTGGCTGTAGAAAGATGAATTAATTCAAGCAACTGATTCAAATTGAGTAGGAAACCTTAAGTAACTTGATTTTGTAGGTGTAATTTATTTTTTTCCCCAATTCAATTCTCACTGGTTTTTTGGGGTGGTTTTTTTGCTAACCAGGAGATACAGTAACTGAGCACATTCAGGAATTGTCTCTCTCAGGTTTTGTGGATTTTTTTTCTCCTCTCCCAGAAAACAATGAACGACAGGTCCCGTTTAGGCTTTTTTTTTTTTCTCCCTCCCCTCTCAGTCTGTACCAAGGCAAACAGAAGGTGAAAACAAGCAGCATGGCAGCCTCCCTAGAGCTGAGAACACCCCCACGCTGTGCTCTGTACTTACTCCAATCAGCTCCTGCACAGCTCCGTGCAGGGGAGCGTACATGTGGTGGGTATCAGCTACCTGATTCAGAACAGCACGAACCGCCTGGTTTTATCAAGGCCTGGGAACTCGTTATTGAGGCTTTTGTTAGCGTGAAGAACAAAGCTTTGGTCAACCATTCTTCCGGCACTGACACACAACAGAAGTCGGAAAATCTCCACTATGGAGAGCCACGATGCTCCTGCTGGTATAAACACCTTTCCACCACCAACTAGATGGCAGCTGAAGAGGGAGGGGGAAAAAAAAAAATCACTTTTAAATAGCAAACAAACACAAACCGGTACTACTGGGGAAGGGCCCCAGGTCCGGGCAAGTAGCAGAACACTGGTCTGTTGTGTTGAACTAGCACTTGCCTATACTAAACAGAAAATAAAAGTATTTTTTTCCTGTATCCAGTACTCATGGTCAGACTCTAAGCTGGTTTAGTATCAAAGAATTCACTTGGAACAAATGGGGACACGAGCCCAGTGGCAGCAGACAGAGCCAGTCAACAAGTCATGCGGCCTCGCCCCCCGCCAACCATCACAGACTGGATCCCGTGCGACACGAGGGAGAAATTCACACCGCGCTAAAACCAACCGTTTTGTGCAAGAGGTTTGTAAGTACCATCAGTGCGGTAAATCTGAAAAATAGGTTTTATTTTTAACCAGTGGTATTGTGACATCTTATCTGGCATAACCAATTACAGCAAAATTCATGGATAGAAACGAAATAGCAGATCTCTTCTTTGAAGTGCGTCCTCCTGCTCAGTCTGCAGGCAGCTGAACAGCATTGCACTGAAGGTAGGGAGTGCATGCCACATGGGCTCCCGTCAGGAGTACGGACTCCGAATGACATTCCCACTCACGCACGCGCACAGACGCACACACACACGCACACACAACGTCTATATTTTTAAAAATCTTTAGCAATATTTCCGCATGAAATCACACTTGTAGCATCTACACATAAAATGGCTGATAAAAATAATCTTGCTGTAGGTTTACATAGTATATCTACATTTTCATTTGAATACCTGGACTGCTGGTCCAGCAGAAAAGGGAGGTTTTCTGTCTTGATTTAGTTGGGCTGAGGAGAGTTTTATCCCAGAGCATGAAATAACTGCTCTCTTCATCTCACCCCAGACTTTTATTAAGTGTTTGACCTGAAAAGATCACTGGAAAGTAGCCTAGGAAGAATCAATGGCTTTGTCATCCGTGTCCCATCCCTTTGTGCTGCCTCGTTCAAACACGGGGTAAAAACACTACAAACGGTTCCTCTCCGTCCCATAGGTAACAAGAATACAAAATACTGCAAAAGCCTTTCTCCTCACATACACAGGTACATTGTCCACACAGGATGCCTGCAACAAACAAACGTCTAAAAACGTCTCCTCCCCAAGTCCTAACAGCGGGCTCCTGAGCTCCCCAGCTACAGTTCTAGCACCCAAACCTGCTGAGAAACCTCCCTCCTGCCAGTCTCCAACTCTGGGCATTTCATTCGTGCACAGCCCCGTAAAATACAAAATATTTGAACCATGTTTGTATTCAAACATACTCCCTTTTCATGTTTCCTCAGGCAGAGATCAACCTGCTAAAAACAGCCAAGAAGCTCTTATCTGAGAGGGTAAAGAAAAAAAAAACCCAAACCTCTAGTAAGTGTTAGTTTTTTATATATAAATATTTATATTTATAGATATAGACAGTGAAAGGGAGATTGTGGTTTTATGCATGCTTATTCCTTTGCTTTGGATTCCAATACTTCTAAAAAAAATTCTGTTCAGGAAATAACTTAAGTTCTGGCACAAGATGCCATAGTTGTTTCTTTGAAGAACATTTTTTACATTTGATCTCACAAGAAACCCTCCGTCCCAAGCTCTCCTTCTCTGGAACCAGAAGGTCAGAACACGAAGAAAAAGGTGCATGTTTCTATGCCGTATATTTTATCCTTTCCTCGTCAAAGCCTCCAGAATGGCAGGTATTTCACAATGAGCTGCAGCACAAGAGGAAGGATGCTGTGACTTCATGGCACTGGCTGAGGTACTCAGTAAAATAGTTCACTGATGATTTAACTGCCCCAGTGCCATCCCCAGAAAAGTAACAACAAAAATCAAGCATCTCTACATGCACATACAGCTACGACATGCAAAACCACCCCACCTTTTAAGGAACAAAATACACAAACGTGTGGCTAGCAAGAATCTTCTCCAGCCTCTGCCTCCCGGGAGCTAACGCTGGGAAGCCTCAGAACAAGAGGAGGGGAAAAGGGAAAAAATACAGGAATACTCAATCCAGGGGTAGAGGCTGTTGCCTCAGAAAGTTGTTTCCTGATTATACTGAGTTCGTGCCTGGCTATCTGGGAGCCTTCGCCCTGAAAAACAGTGGGTCAGAGATTTCCACTCCAGACTTCCTTTCCCTTCTCTCCCCATTCAATGTAAGGCACAAACATATTTACAGTTTCAAACAAAACCACTCTATGTTCCAAGAATCAGACATTAGAAGGCCTGTACGTCCTGCTGTACCAGGAAGATCTGGACGCAAATCAGACATCCCTCAACCCCACCTTCAGTCCTGAAGAAAACAGAGGACTCTCTAAGCCTACAAAACAACTTCCATTATTTTGAGGTTACTTAATTGTAGAAGAATTGATAAATGGCAACGATTGTAACCCAACTTTAAAGGTCAGCTTCCCCACCTCGCCCCAGCAGCGCAAACTGGTTGAGCACTGTTACTCTGGAAGGACTAAAGAGCAGTCAGAGCAGGTCTTCAGAGGCTTGCCCCAGGCTGTACACAGAATACAAGAGAGCATGCAGCATGTTTACATAGACTCAACTTTCTTCCCTCCCTCCCCCCCACTCCCCAATTCAACACACACAAAACCCCTCCACCAAGGAGAATATTGTTGTGACGAGGCACTTGAACAATAATTGGAGAGTCCCTATGAAAAGGCTTTCCCCTCACAGTGAAGTGGGACAAACAGAAGAGAGCAGTTTCTCAGGACTCCATCTCCTCTTGGTCAAGCGGTGGTGGCACAAAGCTGATTACTTCATCGTATGTCAGGCCTGGCGGGAGAAGCGTGACAGAAACTTAGTAGGCAGTACTAAAGACATCCCTCACGCAAGAAAACCTGCAACAATCTTAAACGTTCTCACACTATTTTAAACTAAAAACATGGTTTAATTAAGAAGAAAAAGAAAAGAATGGTGGTTACACCATTCTCAGAGACTGACATACACAATAAAAGATAATTCCAGAGCATTGAGGAGACGTGGGTAAGTTTGAAAACATAAAGACACGAGCAACTATGTCGCCTACATGTTTGTATGCTCACAGTAATAATTAGTTACCAGGGATTACGCTAATTATGCGCGCCGCGCGTGGTAAGATTCTCTCAGTATAAGGACCTCAGAGCGAACAGGATGCCAACGTTTTTATCAGTTTCTTTTACGCCTCTAACTACACGGCTCAGTTGAACTGCAGCTATGGAATGGACCACAAGGGAAGCAGGTTGGCTCTCTCCCCCAGCCCCCAAACTCACTTTTCCATTCTTCAATCTCAAGTTCTCTGCTTTCAAAAGACTGGTCATAGGGGTCTGCCACTGGTTCATCATCTGGGTCGTGATACTGAGCAAAGTACGCGTGAGCCAACGCTTCTGCTGCAGTAATTCGTTTGTCTGTATCCAGTACCAACATCTTCTCTAGCAAGTCCACAGCTGCAAAAGCACCAAAACAGAAAAGAAAGGATTTTTACATAGTGAGCTGTGTGCCACTGTATTCTGAAATGTAAGCTCATAAAAGCCCAATGTATATGAGGACTCTGCAGTTTCTCAGGACCCACCCATCACCCACAATTTCTTCCTGTTATACCCTCAGCCCACACATACTTTGTAAACTTTCGAAATGGTACATAGCCCTGTTCTGGACTACTTCTGCAGTCAAAACAAAACTTTGGGAAAAGTCTTGGTGTCCCAGGACATGCTAGCTTCAGGAAGAGCAGAGCATTTACAAAGCAAGCCTTACCTAGTGGATTGGCACCAATAAACACATTTTCAAAGTTCATTTTCGGCATGTAAGACAAAGACAGAATGTAGTTTCTTGCCTGTGGAAATAAATATTCTGTTGAAGTATAATACAATCCAGCCACCAAGACAGAGTACATTTCAGTCACCCTGAAGCACCGGTTATTATGGTCTGTCTCCTCACTTTGCCTTCTCTTTACTTATTCTGATACTTACTAAGCCCATCAGCATTATCCCTTCCCAACTAAAGGCCACTCAAGACAGCGGAGGAAGAGCTGACATTATCCGGGGTTCATGCAAGGCTGAAAAGCAAAGAGGTGTCGCAAGAGCCGACTGCCTCGGAGTCCCGGTAAGGCCGCGTGCAGCACGGTGTCTGCTGGCAAGCCGCACGACATGGCGCACACAATGCAAAACTGACTCACATCCAGGCTCTCCCGAGTCTCGGAAGTCTGCGGCTGAGTACGCACTGTCCAAATCTCAAGTCTTCATTTAGTACAAAAATCTTGTTGAAGAGCAGGTAGTTAGTTGCCCACCCCATGCCACATGCGAGCATATCATTTATAGAAGCAGCGAACACTGCAAGTGAAGACCTGCCCTGCAAACCCCCCTCATCTGCTCAGGTCTCACCTCATGGCTGGGCATCCTGTTAATGAGATATGCAGGGGGTGTTCCCGTCAGACGCATGATCTGCTGAAGCTGGTTAATATCTTAAGTGCCTAGTCAAGGGCTTTGTTAAAAACAGTGCAAAAACCATTTTAAACAGAAAACAGCTGCATACAAAGCATCTCTTCTGCAAACCACAAGGCAAAAGCCAAACAGGCAGGGTCCGCTAATTTTTTTCAAATACTTGTGAAAAGTTTAGCAATTGCACTAGTGAACATGTAAAACAGTGGAGAATTACTGATCAGTTGGTAACAGCGTCAGTACAGAAAGTATTTCTGTCCGCCATAAGTAGCGTTACACTACAACACGGTTGCATTCACATTTCCCAACAGTTTCAAGCCACCACAGTAGACGTTTCCTTTGGCTGAAGCTACTCCTCAAAAATTTTCCTAGGCTGCTGCAGCTACAAACAGCCTCAGGAAAATGAACAAAAATTAAAACAGAAACAAAAATTGTATCCTCTGCACTGGTTACCAGCTTTTTTTCTTGCTGCATAGAAAGTACTTAAGTTCCTTGTGGTGCAAAGTGAAATCGGCTCACAACTGACACCTCCTTCTAAACAGCTTTGAATGCACTTTGGTATGTGGGCGAGGTGACAGGAGGCAATAAATGCAAAATTAGCAAAACATTAGCATTGCATAAGAGACACTTAGCTGATGTCAGTGAACAGACAGAGAAAGTAAGAGCAAGTAAAGTAATGCAGCAGAAAAACAAATACAGAATTCGTTACAGTGACACACTGATAGTTTTGCTATCTCTGTACAATGGAAAAAAATAGTAGAAACAGTACTTTACTGCATTTTTTTTTTTAAACAGACTCTTGATTTGTACCTGGCTGAGAGCAATTATTCTCTTTATTGTGCAATGTTAAAAAAAGACCCACTTCAATCTTACGTATGCAAACTAATCTTTTGCTTAATCTAGTCAACCTTTAAGCTTATCTCTCTTGCTTATCCCCTGTACTTCAAATACCAGACTACCCTTAAGGTCAGTTCACAAGGCACCCAAAGCAACCTGTGTTATTCAGTTCTAACCTTTCCAAGGGTAGAACCTCAGGGGTTTTTAAATTGGTGTGATAGTCAGCAAGTTGACCAATTGATTCCAGCTTGCACCGCATGTCTACCTTCATCAAACGTAATTTGATTTCGCATTTACCGTCACTGTTACATGAAAAAGAACATAAGCTGCAGTACAAAATAATCTCAGTCTCCACCGCACTGATCCTCTGTTACGTATCAGAAACAGCAGAGTGACTTGCTAAAGTATGCTGCTAGCTACCTCTAAGCAAATTCACTGCTCGCTATGCATTAGCTTGTTAATCTGTACTGTTACGGCATCTCTTGCTCTAACTTTTATGCACTTCACCTTCAGAAACAGGTAAAATTAAATGCCATTTAATACTGTCTTTGCAGAAGTTCACAATTCAAGATTAGAACAATATAGAAATGGCAGTATGGCTGAAAATAGAGGTCACCCTTTAAAAAGGAGACTGCAGAAAGCTTTTTGCTATTACCCTGATAAAAGGGCCCCATACAGCAATACCCTTTAAATACACGGCACAATTAGTTATATTCTCAGACTATATACTGCGTGCCCTGGAAACGGCTGCCACATGAAAACACCTAAAAGGCTTTTTGGATTTTGTGCTACAAAAACCAAGATGGTGGCAGTAGCCTTTCGGAAATTAATCATACTACAGAAGGGACTGTATAGTGTTTAGAGGATGGATAACAAACTTGCTCCCGTTAAGAAAGATCCTTGGGTAGGCAATCTGGAGAAATAATAATTGAGACGAGCCTCAAGCTCTTAGCTGTGAAAAATACTTCCCCAGCAGCATCTGATCGTACAATTTATCACGAAGTATAAACCCACAAACTGAAATTAAAGTCACGAAGCAGTAAAATGAGAATATGGCAGGAAGAAATCATACCACAGGCAGAGGTAAGAGGAATAGAGATCAGATACGCACAGCATAAGAACTCAAAGCCATCCAAGAGCGAAGAATGACAAAGGAAGGAAAATAACAGAAAATAAATCCCAACACATACTATAGATAGACTACAGGAGGGCAACACACAAACTTGGGACTTCCGAAAGGGCAGATATTACAATCAAAGTGTGAACTCACAGACTCTGAGGAGATTTTCTTCAAAAGCTCAGGCCCTGGGGTTCCAACGAGTCTCAAAATGAGCTTCAACTGATCAATATCTAATGATGGACCATAAAGGAAAATGCTGGGACAAATCAAAATGAAAAGCGCAACATATCAGCCTATTAACGTTCAAAGTTAATGCCTGCCAAGGCCTCGACTGAAAAGCTATTTTAAGCAAACTGTAGTCATTCCTCTCGTTTACAATTGAATACCCCTGTATTACACAGCTCCGTCTGCATCAAACGGATTGAACGATTTGTCTACAAATACACCACATGCATTGAATCGGTCACCGCATCCTTAACTATTGTGAAGCAGAAGTCAAAGATTTTGCCCCACTGGCAAAGGATCAGTTTACATGCTCACTTCACCCTTCCAGGCCCCACACCGAAGCAGAAGCAGTTAGCAGGATTAGGCTGCGTTAGTGACAGATGAAGTAAGGCAGAAGGCTGAAAAGTGTAGGCGCCAATATTTAAAAAAAAAAAAAAAAGTCAAGGCCTTTTGTGAACACCTTCCAAGGTAATTCAGCCACTTATAAAACTTAGAAAGTAAGAAAACAACTGGACCCTTGTCATGACCGACAGCATCCCTAACCCTGAACATGGGGGCACCTCTCTCCGGCCCAGAGCAGCCACGGCCACCCCTGCCAGCTCCCCGGGGACCGGCAGGGCAGGAGGCAAAGCACCCGGATCTCCCTTCTGCCCTACAGACCCGCTGGAGCGGCACAGAGAACAGGATCTGGGCTCAGATTTTAAATGTCTACATAGAAAGCTCTCAGGACGTAACATTGCAGCTGCAAAGAATGTTTTATGCAGAACAGAGCTCCCACCAGGCCACGTACCAATCTGAGCTGCCCTCTTTAACAAGGCAGAAAAATTAAATATTTGGCATAGATGAGAAAACATATACTTGAGGGGAAAAAATCCACTAAATGCAGAGTCATATGCCTAAAACGCAAGATAGTAAGGAGACACAAGGTATCTTTTTAAACCATTAAAACAATAATTCTCCTTTTTCTCTGAACTATCCTCCATGCTGTCCTTCAAAACATACTAGTGATTTCAGACTGCCTGTAATGTTTATATTTGCCCTTAAAATTATATCACACTAGTTACACATTCTCCTTTCAGTAAGAGCAGTCTACTTACTAGACAATGCTTTTTCTGGAATCTAACAATTCCTTGTTAGAACATCTTTTAATTCAAATACTGTAAGCACTTCAAATATTGTCCTTTTTTTTAAAAAAAAAAAGCCTCAGAGTTCATGTAATATTGGCAAGCTGTATATGAAGGAAATCACCAACACTTTGCTAAAACCTTTATCTTTTCATGTAAACTTTGGTCTAAAGCTTTGCATATGAAATGAATCAAAAGCCCTGGAAATTGTACTTTGTCAGAACAGCTGAACTAATTTCTCACTTCTCAAGTCGCTTAGCCAACTCCCACCTACTTAAACACTCGGAACCTAAGAGTAAATCCAATGCATCTAGTTGGATTTAGCTTAGCTGCTGCATTGCCAACTCTTAATTGTCAATGCTTAAAATGAAATCAGTATATCTACTGGTGTAAGAGAATTAGCAGAGGGTGCTATACTAACCACAATTAGCTCATTTAAATTGGCTTTTCTTCGGCGCCATTTAAAACAGCCCTTACACCTTCCACTCATTCTTGTGCAAGAAACAATTGTGCAAGTTTTGAACTGCCAACATGCCTCAGAAGTCACATGCCATACCTCAGTTTAAATATTTAAATTCTTTTAAAGGCCTTTTAAAATCATGTGCACCAGGTGTGCCAGCAATACCGCTGCCTAGCACGCTACTGGGAGATACTTGTGTAACATGCTTCAGTGTCTTCTCAGATAAACAAGAGAAGGCACAGAAGGCATAACTGGCACTGCCGTAGGTGTGCCAAAGCCCAACCCCTGCTTCTAGTTTTAGGCCTGCCATCTATAACCTGCCAAATTGCAGGGCCTACCACATCCCAGAGAAATGAGCCATAAGTGATTAAAGACAGGAAAAACATTTAGTAAATACAAAGCAAAAGGGAAAACAAAAAAGAAAAAGCAGCATGTGCACAGAGAAGGAAAGCGCAGCATGCAAACCCCAAATGCCATCACCAAGGTACCCCCAACGACTGACAAGTCTCAGTGATTCTAAAATTCAGAAAACCTGCCATCACCATCGGTAGCAGGCATCGCAAGATTGTAAAAGCTTGTCCAGGCAAAGCAAAGTTCAGAAGTTGTTTTAGCTGCCACCACAAGCAAGACTAAGATGTATCAGGAGAAGTGTAATTTCAAACTGGTTAGTTACCGTGAAAGTCTCATACTACTGAACAAAAATAGTAATAAAAACACTCTTCAGAGTTTAAAGGGAATACCATCAACTTAAAACATACAGAAAATTGGCTAAACTAGTACAAAACATTCAAGATATTCTTATTTGTACTTTATATCATTTTATGCTAGTCAAATTGTCAAACTTCAAGTCAACTTTCCAACTTATTTGTATGAATCATTCACATTACGAGAGCTGTTAACAAAATTAAGAATATACACGTTTAACAGAAACTGACCTTGGCATAAGACAGATACAGTAATAACAAAAAGAAAGCCTCTAGTTATGCCCGAAGGACTCTGATTTTCATTACCTCAATTTTTTTGTCTCTTACTAGTCTTTCCCACAATCTTGCTCCCCTTCTCCACCTCCTGGCAGAGATCTTACCAATATTAGAAATCCATCTTTCATCCAAATATTTCCACCCATAGATTGCAATAGGAACAATTCAACTGGCTTACATTCAGTTTTAAGTTAGGAATATTGCAACAATCCTGCAGAGCTAAACCCATATTAATCACAGGGGTTTTTTTCTATGAGTATCTACAATTCTTGCCTTAAGTCAATAACAGACGTGTTCAGAATCTCTACAGATTAGGTCTTTCAGAACTTAAACCTAAACTCAGCATTAGTTTATCAGTGGCATAATCATCATAGACAGGACTGAAGATCATCACCTCGGAATACAACTTTATTACTTACCAGATTACATTAACTGTACAGCTTGCCTGTAGTGAAGCCCCTTACAAGCAATATATGCATCTCTGGGCTGTATAAAGAAATATCTGATGGACTGTAAATAACATCACACCATTTCTGCTAAACTCTAGGTGAAAGGGACCAGTATTTCAAACAAGAGAACCATTTGAACAGGAGGATGATCATCCTGAGAAGGCATTACCTATTCTGTCACTACCTATTTCATTTTGGAAATATAAAGCTGTATAGCTGAGAAAATTAACATCTTGAGACCAAAAAGCAAGAAGGTAAAATTTTTCGTTGTCAAACGGGAGCAGCTTCCAGCTTCCTGAACACGCAGAATACATAGTCACATTGCCTCCAACTGCAAAGTGAATTCCCTAGAACTGCAGTGGATTTGGATATACTATATCCTTGGCTACTAGAAGCATGGTAAATATACCTTGAATCAAGCATGTTAATATTAATTGCAAAGTCAGTAAGTCAGCAATTGCACAGTGACACTGCAGGAGGAACACAGGCCTCAGCAAATCTGTGGGTACAAAGAAATTAAGAGCCCAGAAGTACCCAGCAGGATCTACATCTGGAAAATTCCTAAAACTTTCTCCAAAAGGCATGCATATATAAAGATTTCAAAGAGCCTTCCAAGACAGGGAGAAGCTAGAACCTATTGTTATCCTACTTCTGCTTGCTGTCTTTAGATGTCAGCAAAACTGGCGTGAAAGCTGACAGGTGCCTTTCTAGATCCTTGGATAGGTGTTACACGCACAAACAAGATTCCTAACCACAAACCCTGCTCCCCTTACAGTTCTAACCTCACCATCAAACAGCATATACATTACTTAAAGCGGGGAACCACAAACACAAACTGTTAAGAACTATAGCACTACAAATTTTATCCAGAATGGGAAAGTATTGGGCCTTATTTTTCTTAAAATCTAACCAATTTGGAACAGAAAAAGCATTTAATTCAAAAGCGTTACTACCATTTGCAAAAGACGTTGAGTATTTAAGGTAAAGAATCACAAGCACCTGCTAAGAATATAAATTAGTAAAGTATCTTAATACCACAAAGCAGGCAATTTAGATCCTAAAAGTAAACTTTATTTTGCATTGCGGATATTATTGGCTATAATTCACAGCTAAGAACACCGTTGGAGAAAAAACTTTGTAGACTTGGAAGATAACTGTTTTGTTCAATTCATAAAGAACACATTGTGAAGCATTTCTTACATATTGCAAAACCTATTAGCCAATATTTTATGTGCAAGTATCAAGATTTTTAAAATCTGAAGTCAGGAGGGTTAAACAGTGGCAACAGCTTAAAGACTTTCACTTTGTTTGAATCTACAATTCTTGATTTCTCATTTTTTCTTGACAGAAACAAACAAAATCTGCCCAAACCAAATCATACCTGCTAAATCAGCCAATAGAAATATAGCAACTCTTTTCTAGCTTCTAAGCAACTTACATGTTAGTTCTGCTTCTGTCCTTGACAACAGAAAAATGCAGCAGAGATGACTAAACAGTAAAGCATAACAAGTTCAACAAATTTGGAGAGAGATTATGAGATGCAGACAGGCAGGAAAAAAAAAGGAAAAATGGTAAAGTTAAAGCACATTGAAAAGGAGATGAAACTGTGTCAAAACTGGAATCAAAGCCTTCCCCTCCACCAAAGAGTTTTAGAATCTAGATGCTTTCCAGAAGTAACACAGTGCACAGAAGGCCAGCACTTGCAGCACTGGCTTTCTTTTAATCAAATGCTAACTATTTGAATTAACAGATATAAATACTAATAAATTAATAAAAGTTATTAAAATAAACAAACTGTGGTTGAAAGAATAAACTTTGGTAAACAGTGGGCAATGTAATTTTCTCTGGCAAATAAAGGCCAATTTCTAGGCAATGAAAAATCTTGCCAGCAGTAAGTCATCCCTATAGGTTGTGTGGCTGAACAAACAAAAGTTATAACAATCTGCATCAAGTCTTAGTTCTAATTTCCTGGGGAAAATCACGATCAACTCTCACAAAGCTCTCTCATAAATTTGCCCAAGTGTCCTACCCAGCCCACTTTGGTGCAGCAGAAAAATTATTTTGAAGAGACGTTACTCACGTCTTGACGTGATCTGTTTCACATCAATACAAGCATACAGTAAAAGGCGGCTCACGATCTGTTTACGCTCAAGCATGGAAGCGGAACCTAAACATTTCAGAGCAATTTGGAATAAGATCCTTGGCACTAAAGAATCTGCAAACCCACTGCTTTCACAGCATACCACCAGGATACAGAAGAGAGGCCAGAAGGGATGCTTCACATTTGCTAGAGACCTGAAGCGTGAGAGGATTCATAGCAGACAGCCTAGTCCATGCAGTTATTTTCTACAAACTCAAAGACCAATTAATTTAAAGTTAAAGGAAAGTAACTCCCAGAAACAAACATGCAAGTAATTCTAGTGATGCTAATGGAGATTTGCCCTCTTGCACACTGTGATTGTTTCATGTGCAGCAAAATCAAGAACTCACCTCATCGTACTGTGAGTAAAAGAAGCCATTAATTCAAAAACAAACAAAACCCCCCACAACCAACCCAGAGCTTCTCTTCTTGCTTAGTATGCAAAAGTGAAGATCTCTAACTTCCATTTCAAAAAAATATATTACTTTTAAAGGATACGGTCTGTACCAGGGAACAACGTTCTTCCAGTCAACAGTTCAGCCATAATGCATCCCACTGACCAAATATCAACTGAACAAAATAAAATAAAAAAACAAAACAACATAATGCAGAAAAATAAAGTCTCAATAGAATCACCCTATCCAACAAGTACAAACAACTTGACCCTTAAATAGTCTTATGGTATTGAAACAATCTGAGATACGCTGCAAGGTAACTGATACTGTTCAGTAACTACATCATCTAAGACTTGTCCAAAATACAGAATACTAGATCAGGCAAGTTTTCCTTCCAGAGCGTAACATGCATTATCTCCACAATCGAAGAGTAAGAAACCTGTTGAAGACAACTCTGAGGAAAAAATTTGCACGTGGCCTTACATAAATTCTACCCAAACAACCACCAACTATTATACTACAGATACAAGACAAGTCCACATACATGCAAGAGGAAAAGAGAAAAGAAGAAAAAGTAAAGTAGTATGACATCAAAGTAGCACGTTATTTTCTTTGATCCATATGTTCTCCTGTACAAGAACTATTCTTAGCATTTGCTTTTCTTCTCTGTGCCTGATCTGGAAGTATTGTAGGGAGGCACAGTGTGCTGCTGAGAAGATACTGGAAACTGTGAGGAAGATATAATTGTGAAGAAGCAGCTAAGAAGAGAGGAAAGGAAGGGAGATTTATATACTTTTTAGCATTTCTTCACACCATAACTCCAGACATTTTTCAGCGTATTCCCAGCAGCTTCCTAGAAACACACCTTCTCCTCATCCAGATACATTCCATTCACTTACTTTAAAAACCACTGTGCTAGGAAAAACAAGGGGTTAGTACTGACAGTATTCTGCCAATTGCAATTTCAAAGGTTCAAGTTTAAAGAAGTCTTGTCAATGCTATCACAATGATTCTTAACTTCCATCTGATAGACTGCGGTTCAAATACTAATTCTATGCCTGCCTTCTTTTAATCACCCTTACTGAAGTGTAATTACCATGACTGCCAACTTATGCAATCAAATGGAAAGGAGCACGTACAGAGGACAACCTCTTCCCCCCCCCCCCCCCCCCAAAAAAAAAATTCAAGAACTGAAAGAGCCTTGTGTTAGTTAAATGCCTTACCTGTCTGGTTGTAATGCATCCAGTTCAGCATGATCTCAGGAGCCCTGTACCACCGGGTAGCCACGTACCCGGTCATCTCATCATCCGTGTGTCGGGCCAAGCCAAAATCCAAGATCTACAGAACAGAAAAGACATCCACTAACTACTGCAGCGGAACCACGCAAACTAGTTAGAGCAAACAACTAGGCAGTTATTGGATTGGGTTGAGGCAAGGTGATGCAACTGAAAAGCAGATTATGAAACTAAATTTCACAACCTGTTAAAAGACACTAGCCTAGAACAGCGTAGGACTCAATCAAAATTACATCTGAGTATCTTCTCTCTAAAACAACTAAACCCAAACTAAAGCTGTTAACTCTTCACTTTCATGACAATTCATTAAAAACACATGAACAGGTACAGAAAAAAACATCCTTACAGTCCTTTACAGCCGGGAAGGATATTATTACTTTGGGTCACAAAAGTATTTCTATAAGGAATTATTTTGTCACTTTTAATTCCAAGGGACGTCACAGTCAAACCAATCAGACCTTGCGATTACATTACCTTTAGCTCACAGTCTTCATTTACAGCTAGGTTACTAGGTTTTAAATCCTAAAAAAAATTAAACATCAGCATTAACAGTGGTATATATGTTGTTTCACAAGTCTAAAGTAGATAAAATGTAAATACAGATAGAAGATAGATTCTAACTCGCTGTAAATACCAACTCTCCATACTCGGGAAAATTATTTTATCCCAGAGTCAGCGATCTCTTCTGTGGTCCTCAGAGGTGTCACATATAAGCAAAAATGCATAAACGCTTATTGCAACACCAGTGCTGTAGATGTATATTTAACAAATAGAGAACCTATTTTACAAAGGTACAAGTCAAACATAGCCAGAAACAGAAACTATGGATCTTTATAACCATTTCCCATGTTTAACCTTCTGACTCTTTAAACAAAATAATTCCTGGAAAATTTCTTCTTGTTTCTATAGGTGCTGCACTTTTTTAAAGACAGGAAGCAATCTTAGGATAAATACTCACCCTGTGTATTATGTCAGCTGAATGGATGTACTGTAAGGCAAGATGACAAATTTTAACTTAACAGTCCAAGTAGCCTCCTTCTCATTGCTTCACCAGACAATACTGCCCTACCCCATCCCACACAATTCAAATGCTACAGCTTTTGAATGTCTGCAGAAGGAACCGAGTACGAGTCTGTGGGCTTCAAGTAGGGAGGTGTTTCACTTCGTGTCTCCTTAGGAACACCCAGGAGCGCCGCCACAAGTGGAACACCACAAGTAAACAAAACTGAAGAAATGGAAGATTCATAGCCAGAGCAGATTAGAGGGCAGCATACTTCATAATTTTCCAGACTCTGCCCATAGGAACATATAGAAATATCTTCTGAAACGATACATAGCTTTAGCGATACAGCACTCCAAAGAGGTGTGAAGGGAAAGAACAATAATAATAGGTTATCCTACGATATGTTACGAAAGTTACAGAAGCCCCACTGTGTACTCATATCGATCTCTGAGGATATGACATTCATCAAGAACTTCCACCTCCCGTTGATGAGCTATCAACGTTCAGGTAGAACAGGTGCAAGTACCTTCAGTCCCCGAAGAATTTGGTATATCAGGAACTGCACATGGTCATCGGTGAGTTTCTGGCATTTCACAATGTTGTTCAGATCTGCTCCCATAAGGTGTGTCACCAAGTACCTATGAACAAAAGGAAACACAGAGGCTATGAAGCAATCCCTTCAACAGGATTAGGATAAAAATTCCCTATGAAGCTCCAGTAGCTAGGGATGACTGTCCCAAAGCATGAAGTGTGTTGCTGAATGAAATACAGTTCATGACACTTCAAATAACATAGCAGATTGGTACACTGATTCCTACAGCACTGGTCAATAAAACACAAGTGAACAAGTTTGAAGAATCCAATAGTTTAGGATGCCCTAGTATCTTTTGTGTTGGAATTCAGAATCATTTGAGAATGACGGCAGACAAATTAAGGTGGCAAATATTTCTATAATAATCTGGGAGGTGTAAGAAAGATACAAAAGATTTTTGTTGCAGCCTTCAGAGAAGTTACCTACACATCATTGAATTCTTCTAGTGACTTGGCAGGCGTGAACACATCCAACAAACCAATCACCTAGAAAGAAAACAGTAAAGTGAAAACAGGGTTAAATACATTCACAGTATAACACGATACAGTTAATAAGATCCTTTGTGGAATAGAAACTACTAATTCCAGTAGATGTTTCATTTCCAACTACATGATTCATTCAGATGTCGACAAATTAGTATTCATACAAGATCAGAAACAAATGTTCAATTCTTGTGTAAAAAAAAATTAAGGTTAAAAATATACAGCTGGTCTTTTCACACCAGCCATCCACTTAAAGCATCCAACAGGAGCCATAACAAAAGGCAGGTGTAAACACTGGTTTAGAATCCTGTATTTCAAAAACCAACTAAAGTTTGTTTGGGAAATAAATGGATGAGAAAAACAAAAAAACAACCACCAGACAAAACTGCTTCCTGCTCAATTTTTAGTTATACTGTTGACTACATACTAAAATAAGAATTGGGAGACTGTATTTGTTTCACTTGTACTGAGTAACGGCTAGAGAAATTCAAGGATCTGTAGCACAAGCAATGAATAATAATGACTGCAGTAGAAAATAAGTCAGGAAAACAGTGCGATGCAATGAGGACCCACTTTTCACAGCTTCACACTGTCATTTGTATTTTCTGCCCAAAGAGCAGCTACTCCACCTTTCACTTTACAGCTGAGCTGTTCTAACAGCAGAGAGTAAAAGTATATGCATGTGTTACCTTGTAGAAAAGAGTAACTATACCTTATTATCCCATAATTATCTTCTAGGTAATTTACAGCATTTAAAAAAAATCCATCTGGTTGATAAAGATTGTTCTAATGTTCACTGGAATGTTGCTTTTAAACCTTATTTTCCTTCTCTTAATAGCAAATAATACTTCATTTTGTCACTATATGAGATAAAGGAACAGGTTCTCTTCATCCACCTCCAAAAAACTCCTCTTCCCTTTTTAAGTCAGCATCTCACACAAGCATCATGCACGTTTCAGCAACTTCAGTAATGGTTCCAGCGTGCATATGAAATCAAGAGTTGGATTCCTGTGTTCCCCTTTGCACCATCCTTTTTATCCTGTTGTTTACACCTGTCAAGGATGTCAGAATCAATTGCGTTATCTCTAAGCAGAGAACTAAAGACAAAATCTTTGAGGAACCTAGACTATGTTTTTGGAAAACAGAGCAAGTGGGTAGGAAATAAAAGCCTCTGTCTCATCTATATTATACGTTATAGATCGCATTTTATTGAGGAAACTGAAGAGAGAGAACACTTTCCTGCCTCTCTTCATATACACTGCAGCAACTCCATTTCTAGACAGACACCTTCAAACTCTAACATTCATATCCATCCTGTATAATAATTCTCATGCTTAGTTTCTTTCTCCAGTGGACTCTTCCATA